ATCACAAGAGATCTGTTCACATAGACGACGACAAGATAACCGGGTTTGATAACGTAGACATCTTACTATTATTATCAGCATTGGATGTGTTAATGATGAGAAGGAGGTGATAGAAGTGATAACCAATAGGGATGAAGTTGTACTACTAGTCCGTCTAGCACAAATCTTGATGTATAATATGTATCCAGAGGAGGGTATTCAGTTCCCTAATAGTCTTGATGAAGTACCTCTAAAAGTGATGAAGGAGGGCTATCATGGTGCATTGGCGACTAGAACTAGGTTGTAAATATAGATAGATGGAGGGGGGTATCATAAGGCATGTACAGGGGGTTACAATAATGCAAAACGTAGGAAGGCTAGAAAGTGTGGCTAACTAACTAAACCAAGAACATTACTGCTATTATTACTACTAGTAGTAGTATGAGAAACACTTCTCTAGGTGAATATCTATGAATATAATAGACTTGGAATAGAGTATGGATGATTAGGATAATCCTCATTGTAAACAATCATTAACATGACGTTGAAGGTCGATGAGAGGTATACCAGTTTTACCACATACTGGGCATTCACCAACCTGACATGATAATAAGGATAGGAGGAAGACGAAGAGGAGGACGACATCTACTACTACTATGACTACTGATGATGATGAGGGGGGTACTAAACGACGATACTACTTCTTCATCCTCTATGTTGCTCTTCTTGTCATCAGCCTTCCCTGGTACTCTCTTAGCATGGTGACGTCTCGAGCTCTCCTTGTTATTGAGTGTATCCATCTAATATGATCACAATTACTATGATCCTCCCCCCTCCTCTTCTTTACATATTCCTTAGCCATCTGATAACTATCCTCTACAGGGAGACCTATATCTAACATCTCACCGAATTTACTCCAATACTTGGCGTTATTCCATAACCCTAATAATGATGATGATAGTAGTAGTAGTAGTAGTAGTAGTATAATAATAATGAATAATTATTATTATTACCACGATTGATAAGGTCATCCTTAATAGTATTAGAAACCATGATCTGATAAGCACTATATAATTGTGTACCTTAGGAGGATAGTAGTAGTAGGGGGCCATAAGTCAACATCCTTGGGGTAGTAATGATGATAAAGCTTATTATTATTATTATCGGTAATACGACTGGCCTTATTAGTGGTCTGTTTTAGGTGTTGTATTATTGTTCATCATCATCATCACAACAATTGGATAGTGGATAATAACATTGTTATTACCAGTATTATTGGATATCCTACCACTAGTAGTAGTAGTAGTAGTGGTATTCAATGATCGTGATGCTATTCTTCTTGTTGTTGTAGATGGTGATAGTAGTCGTGATGAGCCGTTCGCTTTGAATACACATCTGTTACTACTAATACTACAATTATCCATATCAATAACTTCTATTACCTATTATCTTCATGATGAGCAGCAGCATGTGATGATGATGATAGGGTATCTACCTCTCCTCCCCTTCTTTCAGGTGTATTACTACTCTTATCCTTCTTCCCAACCACTCCACTACCCAACCTCTCTGTTTCTCTTCTTCTTACTACTGGATTCACCTACACCCTACTACTACTACTACTACCCACTAATACTATTACCATTACCTTCCTAACATTGGGACCTTGTGTAACAGCTGCAGTAGCTGCTCTAGTAACTTGTATATCAGCATTATCTTGCGATACTAGTATACACTGTTGAGCTTGTTGTGGGGTATGAAATGTAGCTACTACTACTGCATTACTCAATTCTGTTACGCACTGTACACCTTCAAACATTGATACGTATTCGAACCTAGAATAATAATAATAATAATGGGATAGTAGTGGTAGTAGTAGTAT